ATTTGAAACAATAGAAACAGAGAGTAAATAGAAATCATTATGAACATTCTGATGGCCAAGACAGGCATGACTACAGAATGGCATGGAGTGGGACCTAAATCTTGAAGAATACAGAACATGAATATCGGAACTAAAAGGTGGTGAAGAATAGTTCTTTTAGTTCATGATGGTGATGACTTTAGTTCAAATAACCAGGATGAGAAAACAATATTTAGTAGAGATGAGAAATGATAAAGGTATGAAGTCACTTGTGGCAGTGTTGTGCAGGCCCCTTTACAGTAACCAGTAACTAAGCTATTAAGTGTGTGGTCTCCTTTTGTTAATTATTCTAGAAAATCTATAAAATGTGAAATATTTTAAAAGTCATACTTTCTTTCTTTGCTCTTCCCCCCCCCCCCCATCTATTTTTATCCAGTTTCTTTTTTCACCCCTCCCTCTCTACATCTAATTGGACATTGATAGGAAAAGTTAATGCATGTGTGAAGTCAATCCTTTATACCTCATTTGTTACACTTTGTCCTATTCACAAACGTTCCATTGTTCCATTGCCCTTCATGTGGTGTCATCAATTCACATTTCCAACAATTGTGAGAGAACCATTGTTAAAATCTCAACTTGTGTGAATAAACTTAACTAGTGGAACGTGCTTCAGCAAATCATAATGTTTAACCATCAGTGTTCTTTCTAAAAAAAAATGAATTGTCTTATCATAGCCTCAAATGGTTGCACATGGATGGTAGTGAATCAAATTGTAATTTTAACAGAGAAAGATGAAGATGTTCAATCATGCAATACATGCATTACATGAAGAGTAATTGGCCAATTGTTTTTGTCATCAGACTAAAGTTTTCATTTGTGACCTATCATGTGAATTCTCGGCTTTTGATGTGCAGCTATTCATTTAAAAGTTTTTCAAAAATGACACCAGAAAATATGTCAGGTGTGACATCAAGAATTTCCACTGAATTACTTTTTAGGAAGAACCAACACTACATGTTTATGCAATTCTACATTATAGTTCATTATTTAACTTAGATGAAAAGGATTCCTTTTTCAAAAAGTATTACTGGGACTAGAATTTTGTTATAGAGTTACTTGAAATAATTTTTTACATGATAGTGGATGCAAGTTTTTTTCATTTAAAAAAGTTTCAATAGCTTAAATAATTTCAGTCACTTTAGAACCATAGTTATCATTATCACTTGTGTTAACTTAGTATAGTCCTCTATACAAGTTTGAAATTTGTCATCAGCTTTAACAATTAGTTGCTTGGCAAGTAAGTTGGGGAGGATGCAAAGGGATATTGAGGCTAAGTAGGCAAAAAAAAAAGGCAAGTGGAATATAATGAGGAAATGTGTTTAGTTGTCCATTTTGTCAAGGAAATTTGGTTTATTAGTCAGTGCATTGAGTACAAGAGTTGGCAGGTCTATATAGGACATTGGTTAGGCCACTTTTGGAATACTGCATTCAGTTCTGGTCTCCTTGCTGTAGGAAAGACGTTGTTAAACTTGAAAGGGTTCAGAAAAGATTTAAGAGGATGTTGCCAGGGTTGGAGGGTTTGAACTAAAGGGAGGGGCTGAATAGTCTGGGGCTGTTTCCCTGGAGCATTGGAAGCTGAGAGGTAACCTAATAGAGGTTTATAAAATCATGAGGGGCATGGATGGGTTGGGTAGACAAGGTCTTTTACTCAGGTAGGAGAGTCTAAAACTAGAGGGCGTAGGTTTAAAGTTGGAGGCGAAAGATTTAAAAGGGACTTAAGGGGCAACTTTTTCCTGTAGAGGGTTGTGCAAGTATGGAATAAACTGGCAGAGTAGGTGGTGGAGGCTGGTACAATTACAGCATTTTAAAGGCATCTGGATGGTTACATCAATAGGAAGGGATTAGAGGGATATGGGCCAAATGCTGGCAAATGGGACTAGATTAGATTAATTTAGGATATCTGGTCAGCATGGACCAAAGGGTCTGTTTCTGTGCTGTACATCTCTATGACCCTAAAGAGTAAAAGGGAATATACAATAAACTGGAATATAGTGATAGGGGTAGATAAAGTGAGAGATCTAGGTCTCTAAAAGTAGCAGTATAGCTAATTAAGCTTGTAAAGAAGGCAAATAGAATGTCTTTCATTGACAGGACTGGAATGTAAAAGTAAGGATATGATGAAACTGGTGAGGCCAAAGCTGTAGCATTGTGTGCAGTTGTGGTTACTCCATTCCAGGAAGGATTTAATTCCTCTGAAGAGAGATGGTTTTCTAGAATATTCATGGGGTGAAAACTTCTAACTATGAGGTTAGATTGGAGAGGTTGGGGTTGTTTTCTTTGAAACCTTAGCATGTGGAAGGATTACATGTTTGAGGTATACAAAATTTGAGAGGGGTAGAAAGAGAGTAGACAGGAGGAACATGTTTCTCACAACAGAGAGTTCAAAAACTAATGGTCATAGATTTAAGCCAAGTGGCAGAAAGATTAGAGGGAACGTGGGGAAAATAGTTTTTATGTAGAGAGTGGTAATGGTCTGGAATTAGCTGCCTGAGTTGGAGACAGACAGCCCAAACTCTTGTTTTAAAATGTACCTGGTTTGGCATCTTAGCTGCTGTAATCTGCAGGGCTATGGGCCAAGTGGAGGTCGATGGGATTAGAAAGAGCATCTCAGTGTCTTTGCGTCAGTGCAGACAAAATGGGCTGAATGGCCCCCTTCTCTGTTGTATCATTTCTATAGTTCTGTTAATAGATTAATGTTTGACTGGTACAGACACAGTGGGTAGAAGGGATTATTTCTGTGCCATAAAAAGTTAGACTTTCTGGTTAAACAATATTAGACTATGGCAATTTGCAGTAGAGGGAGATCGAGGTGAACTTGTAAATGAATTACAGTTAGTGTACAGAAAAAGCAAGTGATTAAGAAGAAAAATGAAATATTGTCATTTATTGCAAGGGGAATAAACTATAAAAGGAGGGAAGCATTGCTACAACCGTACTGGACCTTGGACAGCTTTGGATTATTATATACAGTTTCAATTTCCTTAATTATCAAAGTGTCTAATTGCATTAGAAGCAGTACAGATGAGCTTAGCTTGAATGTTTCCTGGAATTGAGGGATTATTTAATTATAACCAAATTCAAAGCTCAAATTTAAATAAGAATTCTATATGAGCAACTGGCAAAGCTTGCACCACTTGAAGTCTTCAGAGCATCTAATCTCATACTACTGATTTTAACAACCTTTTAGTTAGGTGAAACCCATAAAAGGAGAATGGCCCAGGAAACCCTGATCAATTAACTACATATTTTTATTTAGAGCACAGAGATGTAGTAACTTCCTTGTCAAATGGATGAAAAAAGGAGTTGTGAAGTAACTCCTAATTGTTGTCATAAATCACTTGTTAATGGGTATGATTGTCCACCTAGGAAATTCCATGTCACTGGTCATTGGTTCTGTGGTTTCTGGCACGGCTGACAGGCCTGATTTCTAGAGTGCATCCTCCTGATATCTTGTACTCAATGGCAGGTTTTTAATCTGTCTACATGCCTTAGGGTATTGCCGATGTTAAAAATATTACATGAATAAAAGATATTCTTATACTATTTTTGGACTGGATCAAAACTTTGTCTTGCTAGTAAAAAACAGCATTATGTATATACTTGTGTTAAATACTGACAAACTTGAAGTATTTCAGATTGTAAATAAAAGTAGTAAATTTTAGAGCTTAACAGATTGTTACAAGGTCTAAGAAAGAAGAGAAGCTGGAATAGGCATTTGATCCATCAATCTGCCTGACGATGCAACACAATCATTGTTGATCTGATTTCAGTCTTAACTCCATTTTCTTGCCTGCCTTCCATAACCCTCAGCTCCCTTGTAGACCAAAATTCTATCTGACACATTCATGAATATATTCAATGACACAGCTTCCACTGGTTTCTGGGGATAAGAATTCCACTGACTAATAACCCTTAACTCAGTTTTAAATGGAAGATCCCTAATTTTTAAAATGTCTCTTGGTTATAGGTTTCCCCACAAGGCAAAGTAGCGTTTACTCATCCATTTCAAGAAAATCTCCTCTAATTCTTCTAAACAACAATGGGTGTAAACGCGACCTGTTCAGCATTTTCTCAAAATAATCACTCGATTGCAGAAAATGTTTGAGCAAAGCTTCTCTGTTTCTAATGCAGTTAGAGACTGTGATAATTAAGGAGATCAAAACGTATACAATAATATCCTCTTTCCTGTCCATTTCTTTTTTTAAAAAAAAAAAGAAAATAGAGTGATTACTCTGAATGCTGAAATGGCTGTTGGTGCATGTGCAGATGAGGACAGTGACATCACTTTGTCGTCTACACCAGAACATATTTGTCCTTGTGTAGATACTGTGGACAATCTGTTAAACTGTTGGTTCCTGTGATGCATTCTTTGTTTCTATAAAAAAAACAGTATTGTGAAAAATTGATACATAGTCACCATTACTGAGACTAGCTTTCAATTCAAGATTAATTGAAATTTAGTTTTTGGAATTCAATTTACACTTGCTGTGGTGGGATCTGAATATGTGAACTTGAGGCTGTGAATTATTTGCCCAGTGACATTGCCACTGTCTCCCTTGAATGTCTATGACTGACTGGGTATCTCTCTTGTTTAATGTAGACTTGAGAAAGTGGAACTGATGATAATATAAAATAAATTTTCTTAGAATTGCCACCTTTCATTAATGTTTTTCAAGCATTTTCATGTTACAGTGACACTGAAATTAAGGACTTATGAATATGGTATTATCATCGATGAAGAAGTGCTGCTGTATTTCTGAGCTTTGACTACTTTGTGATATTGCAGTGCATTTTTATGTCTTTCTTTTTGTGTCTGACTCAACCATATTGGTAAAAATTCAGTTTTCTATTTTATTTGTTTAAATGTGTAATATGTTATATGGAAGAAAAGGGCCTTGCATTTCACTGAAAAATTTTGTTTTCAATGGCAAGCATGATAACACTGATTTTATTATTTTTAGGGAGTACCTTGGGAAACAGCTGCAGTCAGATCAACCACCAACTGTCACCACCAGAAGCTGAATTTTCTGAAATCACTGTTGCCTACACCAAAATGCATAGACTGGTGGATTTGTTTTTGAAGTATAAAAGATGTGTTTGTCTGAATATATTGAACTAAGCATATAATGTTTTGATAGATAATTGTTTTTCATAAATTCACATACAACATTTCTTTATGGTCTGTATTAACAAAATTGAATATGTATCCTGATTAAGCAGCTTACTGTATTGGACATAAGTATGTACATGGTGAATTATCTGCAAAATCAGTTATTTGATTTATTTGTGCTAGTCAAGTTTAATTTGAGTAAAGTACAATTATCTGCTGTGCATTGTTTGATATTATCTGTCATCTTGATTAACATGTCAATGTAGTGATAAATTATTAATAAAACAGCTATGTGCCTGAATTGTTAGATCAGTAACATGTAACAAAATGATTGAGATCAGAATCACTTATTGGAACACAGCATTACAAGTTGGTCCACTATTGCATGAGCTGGCAGCGTGACTCTTGATTTTTTTTTAAAACAAAAGTGGTCACTATTGGACCCATTCTACAACTTGTATTTTTATAATTAAACCGAACAGTCAAATTAATTCCCACTTAGAACTGAATATACAATTTGATTGTGAAGCCAGAAAAGAAAATACATTGGGAAAAATGTAGTTTGCTTGATGCTGCAAATAGATTGAGGATCACATCTTGAAACACACAGGAACTCTATCCTGACAATGAAAGTTCGATGGGACAATCATCATTCGAATAAGTAGATTGGAATTGTGTGTCAGGAGCATGCAGAAATCCCAACATAGTTGAATCAACAGGAATTGACAGAAGTTGAAATTTCCTTGGGACAGTTTCTCTGAAAAAGGTCCCAATTCTGACTCTGAAATCTTAGATTTTCACTCAATTAAGCTTGATAATTAACCTGGGAAAATTGGAAGAATTAAAATCTGATCTAACTCCCCTGCATACCGATTAAACTGAGCCTCCTGAATTCCTGATTTGGGAAGTTAGGGCTATTATAATGCAAGTTAATGATTTACCTCCTCCATACAATTGACCATTGTGAAGCTCATTTCTCGTAGATTGTTTGGTGTCTTGACTGCAGTGAACACAGACCTGGAAGCTTCTGTGGATGTACGTTTGTTGTATGTCAATCCTCTAATAATAGAAGGTAGGTGTTACCATAATTCTCTAACTTTTAAATGTTTTTCATTAAACAATTTGACTCAAAATTTTGAGTCAATCAGTACATAAGGAACAATACCCATCACCAGGATTAAATTTGAGAGGACAACTGGTAGTGAAGAGAGGATGGAAGAGAAAAGTGAGAAGGAGCAAGAGAAACAAAGGAATTGAAGAGTCATATTGAAACTTAAAACGTAATTGTTTCTTTCTCTACCTAGGTACCAGACCTGCTGTGTGTCTTTAGCACTTCATTTTTGTTTCTAAATTTTATCACTGAATTCTGCTAAAATTTAAGAACGACTTCCAACTACATCATACATGCAGTTTTGTTTTCTCTTTAAACGGCATTCAGCATTTACTGTAATTACAGATAATGTAAAATATCTTGAGGATAATTCCATCATTTCAGTCTTTTTGAATTATAACCACTTGCAGGTATTGATAAATGGCATACCTGGGTCATGCCTACAAGAATTTAAGGGTAAGAGATGAAGGTAGTAAGAATGAAGGTAGTTTTAATTATGTTCCCAATACAGATAATACATTATAAAATGAATCAATGGAAGCTATCTTCATCTTGATATGATTACAGGTGAAGTAGGTGAAATTTTTCTGAAGTGCATTAAGGTTTCAGTTGTGATCTGGAAGAATGACTTTTTGTTTGTTCATGGGATTTTGTGCTGACATTTATTGCTTATTCCTGATTACCTTGATGTGCCGGTGAGCCATCTTCAACTTATGGCTTTTGCCACACTGCAAGAAATCTTATTGCTTCATCAAGGCATCTCAAATCACTTTGACGTTCCCAAAAATGATCTTTTAACTGCAATATTTGTTTTGTAGGTTTTGTAATTATCTTGTGCATAGCAATATGAATGAATAACCAAATGGATTTTAGTTTTGAATTGTATTGGTTGTGGGAAGAATTTTGGCCATCACATAAGGAGAACTAGTAGGAACTGCAGATGCTGGAGAATCTGAGATAACAAGCAGCATCAGAGGAGCAGGAAGGCTGACGTTTCGGGCCGAGACCCTTTTCTGAAGAAGGGTCTAGGCCCGAAATGTCAGCTTTCCTGCTCCTCTGATGCTGTTTGGCCTGCTGTGTTCATCCAGCTCTACACCTTGTTATCTCGCATAAGGAGAATTCCCTGTTCCTTTTACATTCCTTTTACGGGATGTGCACATCACTGACAAAGCCTGAATTTGTTGACAATGTTGAATTACTATTGAACTAAGTAGCTCGCTACACCATTCCAGAAGACACGAGTCAATCACATTGCTTTGGATCTGGAGTCTCGTAGGCTAGACTGCATAAGGATTTCGGGTTACCTTCCATAAAGGACATTAGTGAACCAGATTTTTTTTTTAAAAATGGTGACAGGTTTGTGGTCTAGCTTTCAATTCAATGCTTTATTTATTGGATTTAAATTCCACCGCCTGCCAAGGTGGAATTTGAATCCATATCCCCAGAGCACTATCCTCCACCAATGGATTACTAGTGACATTCGCTGTGCTGCCATCTACCGCGCAGAGCCATGGGATCTTATACATCAACTCAGATAAATAAGTCATCTGTTTGTCGTGTCACTTGAAAAAGCACACCTCTGATAATGTAGATCTGAGTTTCAGTCTGCGTTAATCCTAAATTTCTGGAATGGGACTTGAACTGACTATCTTCATGCTCTGAGGTCAGTACGACAACTGAAGTAAACTGATGCATGGCTTTGCTGGTACTAGCAAAGAATTGTTCTGCTGTTGCAGTGATTTCTGATATTGGGCAAAGGTCTATCTTTGAGCAAAGATAAATAATTTTATGAATAAGTTGAACGTGTTTGTAATTATGTTGTATTGACAGTTGATTTTTAAGTGATAATATGTTAATACATTGTGCTGGTATTCTTGTGTAGAGATTGATCATAATGTCACATCACTAATAGAAAATCCATGGTCATCTCTTTTAAGAGATGGCCGTCTAATTAGCAAGTTAACTTCTACCGGAGGGCACCTTTTTGATAGGGAATATACTGCTAGAAGCTGTTAATACACTTCCTGCAGCAGGATCTCAACTCTACTATTTTTTTTGGCAAAGAGCATATTTCATATTCATTTGAAATAATTCTCAACTTTCTAATATTACATTTCCAAATGTAATTTTTTAAAATTTACTAACACCTTCTTTCCAAACAGCTGTAAATTGAGCAGCTGTATTCTGAGCAGCCAGCATTACAGCCATATTAGGATGTGCTGGTCAAGGAATATTGTGACTTTTGTTTGAGATAGAGATTGTTCAATCCATTTTGGGCTTCATTTGGGTAGACTGATTTTACAACTTGGACTAGTTGTGGGGTCAGAACTTTTGATTTTAGATATTCCTCCTTGATGCATTGCTCATTTTTTTAATGTAATAAATTTTTAGCTACATTTGGATGCAAGGATTAAAATTTTTGTTAGAGAAATTGACATCAATGAGCCAAGTGGCCTTTTAAAATCACCGTAGCAACCAAATCAAGATCCTCCAGTAAGCAAGTTAAGCCTTAAAATCCAACTTGGCTATTACTGATTAATGGTGGAATTTAGCTGTGATTCCAATCAACAGTGTCTGTCTTTGGATGTCCAAGGTACGATCCTTGTGCAGTATTCTTCAAAATTCTGTTGCTGAGGAATCTAGAGTTGAATTTTTAATTTTCTGGCTTTCATGTTTGTGCTGTGACATTATTGATGATCCCTTACTATCTTTTTTTCTGGAGTCCTCAAGTCTGCAACTTGCCTTCTTATCAGAAGTAACTCCCCTGTTCCTTACTACATTTGGTGTTAGCTGTCTTAGCTGCAATTTTCCCCATAACCTCAGGACATTCCTTTTGCAGGCAGTCTTAATTGCCCATTTGTTATGAGGCAACAGGCCGTCAAGCAGTGTTGCCTCCTTTCTCCCAAGAAACAGTTTCTTTATGTTGCTTCGACTCCATCTTCCTGGAAAGGTTAATTAGCATGTTGTTTTCGATTTCTTCCTTGTTCCTTTCATGTTGGGAAACAGTTTATTCCAGAAAGAAGTACTGCTGATTCTTTTAATTCCTGAACAGTTATTAAAATTCTGAAGTTTACAGTATCACAGTTTTCTACAGCAGCCTGTGTCCAGTCCAACAAAATAAATAAATTGTCAGTGGGGGACTATTTAACAGACAGTGATAAAGTTCAGGTTGGTCTTTAGAGAATGGCCTGCAACAATCGAGAGCAAGAGAATCAATTGGCAGAGAGCTGACTTCAATGAGACGAGAAAAGAGTCTGGTAGGATTGATTGGAATAAGTGGTTGGTTGGAAGATCATTAGGTGAACAATGGCCCCCTTCAAGGACCATACAGTTTGAATACAATCAAGGTTTATTCCCCTATTGCGAAAGGCAGGTCTCACAAATCCAGAGTTCTCTGCATGACAAAAGAGGTAAACAGTAATATTAGAAAGAAAAGGTGTTGCTAGTGGTAGCTGTAAGGAAGAAAATGGAATCAGGAATAAGCAGGAACACTGAAGGTTTAGAAGAGATGAAAAAGCAAATAAAAAAGCAAAGTCTAAAGATATGCAGGTTTAGTGGACTGGTTATATCAAATTGCCAATAGTGTCCAGGGATGTGCAGGGGGCAGCATGGTGTGGTATAGTGCTTATCACTGATGCCTCATAGTGTCAGGGACTTGGGTTCGATTCCAGCCTCTTGCCTGTGTGAGTTCCCTCTAGGTACTCCAGTTTCTTCCAAAGTCCAAAGATATGAACGTTAGGTAGATTGGCTATGCTAAATTGTCCACAGTGTCTAGGGATGTGCAGGCTAGGTAGATTAGCCAAAGGAAATGCAGGGATACAGGTAGAGGATGGGATGTTATTCAGATGGCCAGTCTGGACTCAATGGGCCAAATAGCTTGCTTCCACACTCTTGGGATTGTATGATTCAAAGATGAACTATCAAAAAAGGCTAACTGCTAGCACAAAGGGAAATCCCAAAGTCTCCTATAGGTTTAGCTATTGTAAGAAAGCTATTAGAGGAGGATTAGGAAAGATCAGAGATCAAAGTGGGGTTTTACAAATGGAGGCAGGAGTATTAAATGGATGCTGAAGTATTAAATGAATAAGATGTATCTATCTTTACAAAATAGGAGGATGCTGTCCAGGCCTTCGTGACAGGGGAAGAAACGCTCTCACTAGAAGGAATCAAAATTAATGAGGAAGAAGTTTTGGATATATTG